GAATAAAATAATCTATCACATTATCTACGATATACAAAACGATTTTTTTTAGCGACTTTTGCATACTCAATCAAACTCATTAAATTGGTCTTTTCTTGTTTATTGAACGATTATTAAAACTTTGTTTTATACAGATTATTCGTCGAATATGTCAGAGAATTATTAAGATAAGTAAAATGTATCAAATTTGCATTGCAGATAGATATCTATGGCAAGCCTTTCGGCTAAATGTGTTTTAACTATGTATCAAAATTACCATCGTTCAGATAATGTACGAATAAATTGATTTTCTTTCTTTTTTTTCATTTCAAAAAAAATACTGATGCAGAGTTTAAATAAGATTAGAAAAAATATGCTTGATATAAATTCGATATCAATAGTAAATTAGATTCTCTTTAATTAACTTATATTTATAAAATAGAAATAAATCAAATTTCGTAATTAAAAATGATTTGTTTTATTTTATAAACAAATAATATTTGTAGAATTTATTATAATTTGAGCTTGTAACTTTTCATCGGAAAAATGAGAAATTAAATGTATAATTGACTCGAATTTCGAATCATGGACTAAAATATCAACTAATTCATTTGGTACACCTTTAACCATTATTGTCATTTGAATATTATCAGAATCAATAGTCACAGAATAAAATCTTTGTTGACTAATAAATGTCCCTTTATTAAGTTCATCCATAAAAGCATATTTAGTTGATAAAGAATCATTAAAATACCATAAAGATGAAGTATAGAGTCAATGTACCTAAAGCGAACGGACGTTTCATAGGTCTTCATTGTGACTGTAATATCTCTATCATTTTTCATCATAAAATAATTATTTTTATATCACGGGAAAGAAAACAAAATTCTGCATCTGCTCATATAAAATTTTTTTTTGTAGCTATAAGAATAGTTGAGTAGTAAGCGGTAGAAAATTAAAAATTAAAAACGTTCGCTTTATGCGCAATGTTTCTAAAGCGAACGTTCAGCAAGAAAACGTCCTTAAAGCGAACGCGCCAGCAAAAAACAAGCGAAAATAAAAAGAGTACAATATTTATCTATTTCTGTTCACAGATTTGAATGAAATTTTATGAAATTTATATCATTCGATTCGTTATCTTTAACTCTATCATTCTCTAGCGGTTCAGCTTAATCGAGCTTAATTTTATTTTTTTATTCCATTTATAAAAAAAAAAACTTTCCGTTCGCTTTATGTGCATTATACATAAAGCGAACGCTCAGCAAGAAAATGTACATAAAGCGAACGCGCCAGCTATTTTAGCTGGAGATCAACCATCTTTTAATATTTCGTTCATTTGCCATAGACAAACTTCAAAATTCACTTAAACTTCTGCTGGCAAATCTCTTCAGAAATGTTACGGCTACAACATACTAGCGGTTCAATTCGAAAATATGAAAAATAGTTTTGAAAAGAT